AAACCACTCAATAAAAAGATTGTATGACACACCTTGTCTTCCACCTGTAAGCTTGACCTGCACACCCTTGTCGACAAATTTTGCCAAATCTAAAACAGTTTCTTTTCTGCCAGACTGAAACAGCACAAACAAGAAATTGTATAAAACAACTATCGCAATTAAAAGGTTTCTAAAAGAAACTATGGCAATTAAAATAATACACATTTCTTCCTTCCTGCTCATGCATACAAAAGATGGAACTGCACCTTTACTAACAGGTAACGTTTAACCCTTTGACCTCCGTCTCATCAACAAATAATTTAGTCCTTTTTCTTCCTTTCTCAACAGTTTCCAACTTTCTTTAAGAAAATAAAGTAAGTAATAACCAGACAGTTTCTACTTTAATGCTGATTCTTGGTCCTTTACACCTTTTTCCTCCTAAAATCAAACTTAGGAAGGACGTATTATGGTGTAAATGAGAACTTACCATTCTTCTGTGGATCTAAAGAGCTTTGGTTTTCCAACTAACAGCAAAACTTTGCTACAACAAGGTGGCTATATTCTGCAATAGAAAAACATGAAGTAGAACAATGAGCAGACATGCCACCAAAACTACTTGTATAGAGTAGAAACAAATCTACTCTCCAATAATAACTCTCTTAAGTCTTAATACACAAAAACCTATCGCTCGCTCCATCCTAAAAAGAATGTAGGAGTTTTGACTTTTGAGTACGAGAGTCAACACACAAAAGATGAATCCAGACATTGATTTCTTAATTTTTCTTTTAAAATAAAATCTACATGTTTAGAAAAGATTACAATTATTTATAGTCACTTGTAAGAAAATATTGACTCCCCAAATAGTGACTGTGTTGTTTTTTGGGACAGAGGGAGTATTTCTTAAAGATTTTAATGACATAATTCTCTAACATAGTAGCTTAACTCAAGGACCTGTTTCTATAGACTCGTTTGAGCTTATGACTTTCATCCACCGTGCTGGAAACTCTAGGAGAATGATAAACAATTAATCTTAATGGTCTTATCCCCCTTTTCCTTTTCTAAATAGAAATGTTCAAAGAATTGGTTACTAATACTCAAAGGGCATAACAGTCCATAGTGTCGGAGCCAGAAACTCATACAAGGTTCAGAGAATTGGTTACTAATACTCAAAAGGGCATATCGGTACATAGTGGTAGAGCCAGAAACTCATACAAGGGGTTAGAGTATCACACCTAGGATTTGAACATATGACCTAAACCTAATTTTGAACCCCTTTTACCGCTTTACCACCATACTAGAATCTTCCTTATGTAAAGGGGATTCAACAGTTTATACAATACAACAATAATAACAACCCAGTGAAATCCCATAAGTGGGGTCTGGGGAGGGTAGTGAGTACGCAGACCTTACCCCTATCCCCGAGGGAGTAGAGAGGTTGTTTCCGAAAGACCCTCGGCTCAAGAAGACGAAAAGAGACAAATACATCAATACCATCAACAGAAACAATAGAAATAATAACGACGACATAAGAACCAGAAAATAGATGAAAAGCAATAACTTTTTGATCATTAAGCATGGATTTTATTTTTGAGACAACCATTTTATACTTGCAAACTTACTAAGAGGCTCATAATGTTAAATCGTTCCCAGAAGACTACCAGTGAACCTTTAGATGACCCCAAAGGTCAAACTGTCAAAATTCTCGATTCAAGCCATAACAATCAGGTTCTCAGGCTTCTGAAGTACTAAGCTAAAATCAGGTACACATGATGGGGGAATGGAACAAGAATAGGTGATCTAAGTAATATTTTAATCATTATACCAACAAAAGACAGAAAATTAAGAGAATCATAAATTTTCATTGTAGATTTGTACTTTCCAAATTTTTCTGAAGATTGCATAAGATTAGATAGAAATGTCTTCAAAACTTGAGAGACAATCTCTTTCCGTTTTCTCTACCATTAATATATTCTTTCAAAGGGATTTTTTTTTTAAATCTCATAATTTATGATCAATTCATTCAACATTTTTCACGGATAACTTTTCACCTCTAAATTATGTATTAGATATATACATTGTTATGCAGAAATGAAATTAGTTGAACATATGCGACAAAGGAATCAAACGACGAGGCCATGAGTACGAGCCTGGAGCTATTAGATGAAAGGCGCAAAGCCTTGTAATAAAATTATAAAATAAAATAAAGAATCCAAAAAATACTCGATTTCGGTTTATGGTTCCACATTTCATTTACATGCAATAAAATAACTCGAAGATAAGCATAAGCATTGAAAAAAACATCTTGCATAACCCTTGCATTGAAAATAATACAACCAAATATAAGCATAATGCTCATAGATGACGAGACACAAAAGTGGGGAAACAAAAAACAGTTGTAAGACTTGAAATCTGTTTGCAAGTTGCAACTTCAAAGTTGGAATTAGGTGAACTTTGGGAGTTAAGATTCTCAAATTGATGTTAAATCTTTGGAAACAAGTAATAACAAGTAAACAGATTAAAACAGGATTTTTGGAAACAATGAAAAAAAGAAGTGAAAAAGAACTAAATTATGACAAGACACGTTTAAAGGATATAAAGTATGTGCCAAGAAAAATGCTAACCAGGTTTTTGCCCTCAACGATTACACAGTTTTGGGAACGTATGACACGCTTAATGGTACCAGTCTCACCTTTATCTTTTCCTCTGATAATCATGACATTATCACCTCTGAGAATTCTCCACTAAAAAAGTTTTGTTCTTGCCCTATTTGCAAGGTACAATCTTTAGCAAAGGGGATTCAACTGAACCCCCTAGCCTCCCTTTAACTCCACCCCTGAGTACACCATCACCGGTTTGGAGCCGTTATCACATGGAAAACCAATAATTAGTTATCTTAATAGACTCTAAGTAGAATGATAACTATTTTTTTTTATTCCCCTCCCCATTTGATTCTCCTTTGATCCCCTTTTGTTGGAGCAATTGCTCCTTTGGTGACTCGAATGCTGACCATCTGAGCAACCCCTCATGTCTAGTAGAATGATAACTAATTCATCTTAATTGTCTTCTTCCCCTTTCCCTTTTCTTAATAGAAAGTTTCAGAAAATTTGGAGCCATTATCACACGGGAAGCCAATAAGATGCATATTATTAGTTTGTAAAAATGCAAACAACTAGGAATCGAAGTTAACCTTTTCTTTTAACGCCGTGAGAGCAAACAAGAAGCATACCCCTCCAATTTTAAATTAGTATTTCACCATTACGAATCATCGGAAAAAAGGGTTTTAAGCATTTGTCTGAAGAGAGATAGGAGAACACTTATCATAAGAAAAATAACGGAGCAAGCGAGAGAATTAGAGAAAGCGAGGAACTTACACTTCGATTCGATTCGATTACACTGCAGATAGCAAGTTCTGGGTAGAAATGGTGAGAAAGAAGAAACCTTCGCCTAATTTTGAAATTAGGGCGGAAATAATATATAAATCAAATTTGGGTCGGATTTGGCCTTTCGAAACTGTGGAAAGCAAAGAAAGAAGTAAAAGCCCAAACTGGAAGTTCCTTTTTACTCGACAACAATGATTTTTTGGCAATAAAATTGACTTCTTAGTTACCCATATCCGTATAGATTTGATTGAAACTTAAAAAAAAAAAAAATACATTTAAAAATAACTTTTGAAAGTTAAAATATATTTGGATATACATTTTACTTGAAAAAAATATTAATATTTTATTAGTGAAAGAAATATTTTCAACCAAAAATTTGGAACTTGAAAATTTTTCTTAAATTTTTTTTTTAAAAACTAATCAAATTGTATGAAGAAATATTTTCAATATTATTTTTTGAAAAAAAGTAAGAAAAAACAGTTATGTTCAAACGAGAGCTTATTACACCGTCACTTTAATTTCAGAAATAATAATTATTAGGGTGCCTTAGATGAAATCTTGGCCATGTCTAATTTTTGCTTTGTTCTTCTTTTGGTAATCGTAAAATTAAGAAATAATTGCTTTTCATGAATATTTCGAAGAAGAAAAAAAGTCATACGAATACAATTTTTTAAGAAAATATTTTTAAAAAATTTCTTAGGCAAAATTTCCATATTATTTTTTTTATTTCTAATGCTACTCTTCTCCCTCGTTTTGTCTGATGCATCTGCTCCTAGAAGTACGGTATTTAGGTAAGAATATTCATTTTGTGATGAATTTTGGAAAACTAATTACTCTTTCCTCTCCCTCACTCACTTTTCCCCCTCTTTTTCATTAGGAAATAAATAAAACAATAATGATAATAAAAATAAAGAAGCTATTTTAAATATAAAAATCTCAATTTAGAAATAGTGAACGAAGAAGGTTCAAAGTATATGATAGAAATTTGCATAACATAATGGTCAGAAGATCAAGAGCTTTCTTGGTTAAAAATATTTAAGATAAGATACAAGATTACTCGTGTTCAATTTGTCGCAGAAAGAAAAGAAAAAAATATGGCATAAATATTGGAGATAAACACTGGTATTACGTATTACGTAGAACAAAGGTCCTATAATAGTAGAGATCAAAAAGGTATTTGTTGAAGTTATATATGACTAAGAATGAGAAATCCAAAAACATAAAATAGGTTGGCAATACTTATTTGATCTTCTCAGAGGGACCATTTTGCTTGCTTAATATTAAGTGTTGTATCAAATCTTATTCTTGAATCAGCTATAGTATGTTCATGGTTCCTTTGGTCCGAGTTTTATTTAAATTGAAATCAGATTAACCATCTCAGTCTGGGAAATACATAAACAATGAGCCCGTTTGGATTAGCTGATTGTAAATAGCTGATAAGCTTGTAGTGCTGAAAAGTTTTTTTAAGTGCTGAAACTGATTTTTAAAATAAGCATTTACGTGTTAGGATAGAAGTGCTAAAATTGATAATAAGCAGTTGATGTGTTTGATTAAAAAGTACTGATAAGCTATTCTTTTGTTAAAATGACTAAAATACCCTTGAATTATTTTCAAAAGATTATAAATTAAAAATTTCTTTGTAAAGAAAAGAATTAATAACGAATATGGAATGAAGAGAAAGTCAAGAAATTTATTTTGGGAAAAGTATTTTGTGAATTAGAAAATATTATTAAGGATAAACTAGTAAAATGGTTGGTCAAACTAAAAGTGCTTATAAGCTGAAAAGGCATAAGTTGGGGGTGATCAGCTTATGACTTATGATTGATTTTAGCTTATAAGCATTTTGAGTGTTTACCAAATGCGTAGATAAGCCAAACGGTGCTTATAAGCCAGTTTAACGAGCTTATAAATTTAGCCAAACATATATGGTCCCCCCTTAATAACTTACTTTCTATTTGCAGGTCTTGGCTGACGAAGTTGGGGAATCCATCCACCAATCCAACATAACTTTGAACTAGCAAAGCAAGTATCTAAGTATGCCAATGTTTACTACTCTCATATTTCACCCAAAAAAACAAATATGGTCGATATTTTTTGTTTCAGTTTCCTTTGTTTTTTGAATTTTTCATGAAATATAAGTTCATTCCATTTAATTTACTACATATAACTAAAGACATAATGTGTCATATGTTGGTACATGTTTAGCAAGAATCGAATAAATTGAATGACCAAATATCTAATGAAACATTTATATGTGAGAAATTTTGGAGTTAAAATTTTAAAATGAAGTCTTTTTTTTTATATCATACCAAAAGTCACTTTTGTCCAAGTTACCAAAAGCTGACTGTCAGCATTTTATAAGGCAAAGTCCAATGAACTTAACTAACAACAAAATTAAAATAAGGCATGAGCCGCAACAACCCAACACAACACCTTGGTTTCAATGCGATTATATATTTTCAAACTTATCTAACCTCAACGATTAAAACAATATGTAAATCATTATAAACCATTTCCAACAATATGAAATTCAAGGAAACACTATGAATACATTTTACTTTATCAATACTATATTAAAAGTACGAAAGCCCTTAACGAAATGTCGTTCGCCTTTTTTATCCTTAAAAAATACAATTCGCACTGGATAGAATAGTCATTTTATTAATTTTTTAATATTTAGTATTTTGAAACCAACTACACTTTATTTATTATAGTAGGAAATCTCAATATTTAGGACATTTAAATCAACAAAAAATTTCCTTTTATAATTCAAAATCCTAATATTTAGGACCAAATATAACAACTAATTTTGACATTAAACTACGTTTTAGGAATTCAAATTTTCAATGTTTAATATCTAACCACTAAACATTATATTTGTATTCAAGACATTAAAGTTAAAAAATGAAGAACTGCTATTACTTTATAATTTGAAGAAAATAAATACTATATTGGTTCTTCCATTTTTTCTTATCCAGTACTATTTATTATTCTAAAAGTAAAGTTAGACAGGGAATTAGAGTTAAAATAAACCAATATACAATTAATATGAAGAATTAATTTCTACTCACTCTATCTCAAATTATTTATCATAATGTCTAAAAATAGATGTTTTAATTATTTATCATTTTAGAAGTTTAAGATAAAATTAATTATTTTTTTCATTTTATCCTTAGTAGTAATTATTCTTGAAGATGGAGATGACACGTAAATAAAGTAAATGTTCAATGAAGAGAGATTATATTAAAGACATAATAAGGGTAAATAGTCAAAAATTTATTCTAATTAATATTTTCTTTAAAGACGTGTAAAAGAGAAATACGACAAATAATTTAAGACGAAAAAAATATTTATTAGTAATCAAGACTCAAGAATTAGTAATCAAGACTCAAGAGCCTTTAAATAGGTAGAAAGATGATGAATTATTAGTGTTATGAAATATTTAGTTTAACAACAAAAATATAACTCCAACCTAACAAATAATTGGTCAATGTCAGAAATCTCATCAATTGGTAAATGTTACAATTACGGATTATTAGTAGAAAAGTTGCAGTAATCAATAAAGTCACAAAGTTTACTAGAAAAATGAATTAAGTTTTGGTTGGTGGAATTGTATTTTCTAAAAGTTGAAGACAACAAATTTTATTGGTATTTGTCCTAAAAAAATAGAAAAGAAAATTTTTAACTCGCAAAATTAAAAGTCTATATTAAAATTATTTAAAGTTGCAAGCCGATCTATATTTTTCTAAATACAAGAGGACTAAAAACAAATAACATTGAATCTTTGATTAATATTAATTACTATGTATATATTGTTTTCGTCAACAACTAAAAAAATATAATATGAATCTCTCTCTCTCTCTATATATATATATATTTCGATTGCTCCTGAGCAACTCTACCTGCAAGAGACTAAACAATTCGAAAGAGAAAAGATTCAATAGCGAAATAGGTCCTAACTGACAACGTTGCTTCTAATTGTTATTTTAGAGTTGAACCAGACACAAGAAGGGGATTGAATTGTATTTTACCCGATTTTGCGATTCTAAAGAACCTCGTTCTTTGAACTTAAGCAGACAAACACAAACAGAAATAAAATACAAAAATTAATTAACACAATAATTTTTACGTGAATAGCCTCTTTGCTCAAGGGAGTAAAATCACGACCTACTTTAGGATTTGCCTCAAACTTCACTTAACTTAAGTGAGCAATTTTAGGTTACAACTCTATAACCAATGGGACTAACTCTAGCACCCTACCCTTACAATCAACTCAATTGTAGCTACCCCTTCCCAAATTAACTCTAGTCTATGAAGCTATCAAAAAGTCAAAGTTTCTATACTAACCTATAATTACACTTCTCAAAAGTAAATAAGTTACAATTTAGAACACTTGACTCAACCTAAATAACTAAAGAACTTCATCTTCAGGACACATGTTCTTCAGTTGAGCAGTTTGAGTATCAAAGAGTATCTTTTTGTCGTGATCGCTATTGACATGAGTGATTCAGTGTAATTTTTCTCAATAGCATTTGCCTTGAATTGCGGAAAAGTCTCTTTATAGAGTTGCAAAGTTGACCGGAAATCTTCTTCAATTAAAGCTCCAAAACCTAGAATATTCCGGTAGAGGAAAACCTTTCCTGTTTTGATTTGGTTTCCTTATTTATTTCTAACTCTTCAATATTTTCTTTTCATGCAAGTTTTTTCCCTTATTTGCAAAATTCTTTTTGACCACGAACTCCTCTAATTAATACTTTTCTTGTAGAGTATAGATAGAACTTCTTGACGAATTCAACTTGCATTGGTATTCTGATATTTCACGTCTGATCATCACTCTGCCCTCATCTGCTACGAACTTGGTTCTTGCATCACCTTTATCATATTTTCACACCAATCCAGTAGCATACCAACCAGCTCATGAAACCTGGTTCATTCATCATAATCAGACCTGATTTATTAATCATCAAAATATAACACGTGCTCAACAAATTTCCTCTTTTCGATGATAACAAACCCATGTGCAAATCAGTCAACAACTTGCCCAATTTTTCATCAGCTTTCCTCATAAGTACCAGTTTCATTGACATCACTCTTCTTCAATTTGTCCAT